ATCCCATTTTACAGATGAGAAAACTGAGACTCAGACACACAAAGGAACCTTCCCAAGGCTACACAAGTAGTTTGATGGATGTTATTACTGACTCCCTAACAGGTCTTCCATACCCAGGTGATTAATCTAAGCCAATTAGCGTGTGGCACTTCCCTGGTGACAGTCATTAGAGCAGGCATGAAGACATGTCCTACACTGACCCAATCAGACTGGAGGAAACGATGTCTGTTCCATGGCTGGGTTTTCAGCCTCTCCTGATAGACGTGAACAAAGCAGCATATAACCTTGATTGCCCTGGAAGTCATCCTGCATACATAAAGGAACCAGCCTTAGAAGGAAACTGAGGCTAAAATCAAGAAGAAGTGGATGTTAAGTTGGCATAATGGTACGGTTGCCAGAGAAAATACAGAATGCCCTGTTAAATGTGAATTTCAGATAAGCAACAAATAGCTTTTAGTATAAATATGTCCCAAATACTGCATGGGGCACTTATACTAAAAAAAAATTCATTGCTTATCTGAAATTCAAATTTACTTGCGTATAAAGGTCCCTGAGTGCCACAATAGGTGGTCCCTGGTGATGTGCTTCCATAAAAAGTACAGCCAAGAAAACCCTATGGAGCAGTTCTAGTCTGTAACACATGAGGTTGCCATGAGTCGGAATCCACTTGACAGCAACAGGTTTGGTTTTACATCTGGCAACCCTACACAGAGAAGAGAACAAGTACATGACAACTTCATGAAGCCACTGATTGTACGAAAGCCCATACTACCTCTGAATTTCTGGTTACGTAAGGTTATGAATTCCTTTATTCTTTAAACAGTTCAGAATTTCTGTCGCTTGCACCCCAATGTATCCTAGCTCATGCAGTAAGTCAGTGGTTCCAACCCAGGCAGGAACGCAACAGAACCCAAGCTTACAACCACCATACTAAATCCTAAAAGGACAAAAGCTAAACGGCACATTAAAAGCCATAAAGCCAATGCTTAGGACATTGAACTTGTATTTTTCAAGCTATAAGAATGCATCAAGAAAGACTTACTAGAACTCATCAGATTCTCTTCAGTCAATGTAAATTTTTTATTATAAAGTCATGGAACATGAATTCACTTAAAACTATAAAACTCTTTCATGAATACTGACAAACTCTAAAATCTCAGCAAAGATGACTGCCTACAGCCACCAAAGACACAAGAACACCTGGCAATTCAAGATTAACTTTTAAATTTATAAACATTAATGAAAAATTCCTATGTAATTTTGTTTTAAAAAAAAACACGTCAATAAACTCCATGGAAAAAATTAACTTTAGACCAAACCAGGAGCGATATATAATAATCAAATAAAGTAGTAAGAGTATGGAGGTGGCAGCACTGGATAGGTAACCTTGGGACTGAGTTACTATTTAAGGGTAAAAAGTTCTTTTTATTCTTTGTCCTTTTTTTTAAGGTGTCTTGGGCACAATGTTCACTTAGCATCATAAATCTGAAGGTAATGAACCAAGGACTTTATATGTGGCACCAGGTATACCATCAATGAACAGAAGCAAGATGTTGCTTGAGCCTGTGAAGAGTCTAGGCACTTACTGGTCCTCATTTACATCCAACAGTTTGAAGCCTTGCTCAGTACAGAGGTTTCCTCATCACACAGCACACACAGCATCAATACTACCAACTCCCCAACTCCCTTCAAGGCCACGTTGGGTGCCGTCGAGTCGATTCCAACTCATAGGTACCCCATGTGACAGGGTAGGACTGCCCCATGTGGTTTCCTAGGTTATAATCTTTACGGAAGCAGATTGACAGGTCTTTTCTCCCTCGCAGCTGCTGGGTGGGTTCAAACCACCAACCTTTTGGTTAGCAGCCAAGCACTTAACTGCTGCACCACCAGGGCTCCTTTTTCAAGCCCATAAGAAGTTATAATTCAGGGACATGTCAGTTAGAACAATTGTGAAGTTAAGGAAAGTTCTAACAAAGATATATATAT